CGACGTGCCATGGCTTTTTTGCGGCCACATGCAAAGCGTCTACGTCTACGAATTTCCTCACTCGACCCACCACTTCTTAAAAACCGTACTTCTCACTCTCAAGCACTCTCTCTCCCTAACTCTCCAACACTTCTTCCCCTTCGCCGCCAACCTCGTATGCCCTCCGCCGCCGGCAAAGCCCCACATTCTCTTCACCGACGGCGAGTCCTCTGTCTCTTTCACTGTCGTCGAGTCCGCTGCCTACTTCGACTTTTTCTTGGGGAACCATCCGCGACCCGTTGGAGAGCTACACCCGTTCATCCCCAAGCTGCAGGCACCAACACGGGCGGAGGGCGGCTCACGTGTGGGCCCTCTCATGGCTTTGCAAGTCACCGTTTTTCCAAACTCCGGGATCTGCATTGGCTTTCGGTTCTGCCATGTGGCAGCCGACGGGAGGTCGTTTGACAACTTCATGAAATCCTGGGCGCTGGTTTGTAAGAGCGGAGGAGATTTTGGTCCCGGTTTACAGCTGCCGTCTCACGACAGGGCGGCGATCAAGGACCCAGATGCCGTTGAGCTCAAGTTCTTGGAAAGATGGTGGAGTTGGGCATCGACGCTGGAGGATCGTGAGGACGCACGACCAGTCGTTGATTGTCGTGCTGATTACGTTCGTGCCACGTTTGTTCTGAGCCAAGCACAAATTGAGAGACTAAAACGTTTGGTCAGAAATCAATTAGCCAAGGATGAAAACTCCACGCCGTTTAATGTATCGTCCTTTGTCGTTTCTTCTGCGTTAATATGGTTTTGCTTAGCCAAATCAGAAGAAATCACAGAGAGAAACAATTCCAGTGTCAATGAAGATGATGAGCCTTACTATATTATCTTTGGAGCGGATTGTCGAAGCCGACTCGAGTTTCCATTACCAACGACCTACTTTGGAAATTGCTTGAGGATGTGTTTCGTACCGGTGACGAAGAAGGAGCTGTCAGGGGAAAAAGGCGTCGTCGCCGCTGCGAAGGCCATAGGGAAGGAAGTTGGGAGATTGAAGAGCGAAGCTCTGAAAGAGTTTGACGAGTGGTTTGTGAAGCACGGAGAAGCAACGAAACGGGGGAAACATTTCGCCGTTGAGGGCTCAACAAATTTAAGTGTTTATGAGGCGGATTTTGGATGGGGGAAGCCTAAAAAGTGCAATTTGGTCCATATTGAGGAATCAAATGCCATCTCTCTTGTTGAGAGCAGGGACGAGAAAGGTGGGGTCGAATTTAGTTTTGCACTAAGTAGAAATCGAATGACTCGTTTCAGTGCTATCTTTGAAGAAATGCTTTCTCAATTTATTTAGGTTCCAGCTCTCATGCAGTTGTCAATGGTTGGAGTTAGCATCGATGACGTTAGAGCTTGTTAGTATATTGGTGACGTTAGCTTGTTAGTACGTTCGTCAAAAAATGTATGCAGTGCTTCTTTTTTTTTTTTTTTTTTTTTTTTTTTTCCCTCCTCCTTTTGCATTTAGAGCTTGTTAGTATATTGTTAATTCTGAACTATAAGTATTTTTTTTTTCTTTTTCCCTTCGTAGCGTATTATCTAAGCCACTTTGGTCATGTATGGAAAGCTTGTATTATATTGTATTCCCTTCCTAGCGTATTATCTAAGACACTTTGGTTATGTATGGAAGCTTGTATTATATTGTATTGTATTTAAGTTTCCATTACCAGCAATCTATGTTGGAAATTGCTTGACGGGGTGTTTTGCATCAGTGAAGAGGTAGGAGCTGTTGGGAGAAAATTTAACCAACAAAAAAAAAAAAAAAAAAAAAAAACCCTAAAAGAAAATTGCAGAGACAAAATAGAGACAAACAGAAGAGAGAGGTTGTTGGTGATTTAGAATGAGATATTACGGGGACCCAAATCTTGGTCTTTGAGAGCTGGAGATCAAAAGCAATTGCCAGGACCAAGAACTCTCCACTAGACCCTCGTAGCAGATAGGACGCGTGCATTTATGAAACAGAAGCTATGAATGTAAATATCACCCAGTGGGAAGATTGTCCGAAATTATTATTTGTTGCACACATAGATGAAAATGTCGGTGTTGATGGTGTTGTCGAGGTTTTTTAATTTAGGAATAATGTTGACGGAAATGTGGATGTCGTGTCCACGGATATTTTGAGAAAAAGTAAATATTTTGAAAAAAATTTAAAATTTTTTATTGAAACTTTACAAAATGCTAAAACAATTAATATTATTTAATTTAAACTACTTTAATAACAAAAATAATACGCTTTTTATTAGAATATGAGAGTTATGTTGAATAGTATAGTAAGAAATTATCATAATGATATATGGATTATGATTCAAATATAATTAACAAGGCACAATAATTCAATATACTACATAGAAATTAACTACCAAACATAATAGAATACACACAAATTTAAAGTGCTTTCAGTACCAAAACGAGTTTCTAGCAGGTAAGAAAGTATTAAGTAGGTTATGATCTTGATCTAAACAATACATTTACCAAGAAATTATCCTTAAATAATTCTAGATGTAGTTGTTGATGTGCCATATGTATGTTTCTTGATCTCTTTCCATTTTTAACCCATAAATTGGACACTGTTGGTTTATCGAACTTGATGACTAGTCTTCAGGGATGTGTTATTATACTTCAACACTGATATCTATGGTGGAGGATACACTAATATATCATAAAAACCATCTTGGTTTTGTACTTCTGAAGCAGATCCCATGTGAGAACTATATGGATAGCCATATGAACTTTGCTTAGTTCCTAAGCTCATGGAATCAAAACTCAAGACTATAAAATTCTCTCCAGTTTGACTCAATTGAGTTATACCGCGTCTTTTTATAAATGGTTTACTTAAAAAGTAATTTTTTTAAAAAAAACTAATTAAGTTTTAATATTTTCTATTTATTTAAACCACGTTGTCACATTTTTTATAAAAAAAATATGAAAAAATGTGCTATAAAATTGATTTTTATTAAAAAAAATTTCTCAAGGTTTTTGGACATTTTGTGGATATTTCAAAAAATATCCTAAATATTTATGGATATTCACTGATTTTACCGATTTTTTTTGGATATTGCTGATATTTTATAGACACGCTAAGAAGAATGTCTTAATTCCTCCTATATTCATGTCGAGACTTCAAAATATAGATAATATCATGGAACTGTCGACGATGTCTTGGACATGTCATCCATGATTGCACAATGGCATGATTACAATTCCATACATTTCTTGCTTTAAAATCCATTACCACTAAGTAATAGGGACCCAAATCTGCCTAATTGGAGCCTCCATTAAATCAGTGATCAATAATTTTGAAAAAAATATGGCCAAACAAAAACTTAAAAAGCATCCTTACCGAAACAACATAATAAACATCCATAAAAATTAAAATTTAGAAAAAAAAATGATGAGCGCTGGTTCAACAACTAGGTTCTAGGTGTTGATATGGGTACAGATTGCTAGAGTTAAGATTTTTTTTTTTTAAAAAGAAAAATGTTATGGAATAAAGATATGTGAATATATGATGAATATTGAGTTTTTAATAGTTATGTTTTTATTCATGTTTATTCATTAATATGTGATAGAAATTTAAATTTATTAATTAAAATAATTTTTTAATCAATTACTTAATTTATTACAACAACAACAAAAAATTCGAGAAAATTACATATTCTACATGTTTAAGTATCTAACTTACTAAAAGCAGCTCTTTTTAAAAACTCCATCCCTTGACTAGTTTTAGTCAAAAAGATACAAAAATATGGGCTAACATTAAGGGGTAGAAATAAAATGTGCTCCATTTTAAGGGTATTTTATCAAATTAATATCTTACTGTTAAAATAACGATAGTCAATTATAATTATGGAGACTTAGGACATCTACTTAACAAACTTGTCAGTAACCCTCAAATAAACAGACATTAAGGAATAATTAATGAGGTTTTAAAGAGAATTAGCAACTTATAAATCCGCAACTCGCGCTTAACTGTAAGTTATAAATAAATAAATAAATAAAAGCTCCTCTAGGACTCTTGACAAAATTTTGATTTACTAACGCGAGTAGTCCACTTAAAAACAAATCATAAGAAATCTTTCCAAAAGAAAATAACTAGACATTAAATTAAAAGATAAGAAGAGTCTGATAAATTGCATCATAAACATAGACTTCCTTCTCTTTTTAAAATGGTGTTCTGGAGAAGGGTTTTATGAAGATGTTTACGAACTGATCTCCGCTTTTAGTATATCTGTCCAACGTACTATGCAGGGGGCATAGCTGTTTTACGTCTACAGCTTCTGTTATAATTTGGTTTGTTTTCTTATACGAATCGTCGTTACTACTTTATTTAGGAGTTGTTCTTTTACAGTAAAATTTAAAAAAAATTTAAATTTAAATTACAACTTTATTTAAATTCACGTTCTTTTAAGTTTTAACTTTATTTAACTTTATTCAAATTATAACTTTAAACTCAAGTTATAACTCAAATTCAATTAAAAAACTACACTCAAGTAACACTTCAAAAGAACAACCCTTTAATTTTTATATTGTCGTTTAGTGAAGATTGAGTACGATACCGTTATGTGCAATCTCTCTCTTCTTTTTTTTTTTTTGATAATTTGTGCAATCCCTTTTTTTGTTTTTTTGATAATTTGTGCAATCCCTTTTATCTCTACTAGTTAGATGCACGCGCGTGCATATTCAAAAAGAAAAAATGTGGGTGGCAATAAAAATAGAAGAAAAAACAGAAAAAAAAAACCTAAGAGAAAGGTGAAATAATGGAAAAAAAGAGAGGAAACGTCTGATAACACTATAAATAGAGTTATTTTACAACTCATTTTATACAAAAACCGCTCTAGTTCTTAAGATTTTAACTCATTTTGTTATGTCTTAAATTAGTTTTATTATTTTGTTTAATTTTTTTAATTTTTTTAATTAAATTTGGTGCATTTTTACTTTCTTTTAATGTATTTTTGTATTATTTTATTTTATTCAAATTATCTATAACATTTTTATGTGAGTAGTATCAAAAATTTAGCGCAAAACATGTTGAAAGGGACAAAATCAGACCATGATTAAATAAATATAATAAAAAATAATAAAAAATTAAATCGCAAATGATTTCGACCATTAATTGAGATTCTCAATGGTCATGATGTACGAGTGAACACACGGCCCAGACAGAGGCGCGTCCAGCATCAGGCACGCCAACCTTTTCGTGTCAGTGGACCCTGCCGTGATCCTACAGTAGCGAATGAAAATGTGACACTTGGTTGTTGTGTCATCCACCGTCCATCTGCATTTATTTTGCTGTGGCTTACTCTACATGAGCTCGTTTCTATCAGCAAATTCCATGCTAACTAGTGGCAACTAAAAAGTTCCAACTATTCCCACGTCGACATGTGGATCATTAGTACGACACACCCAATTAAAACTTGACACGCGGCGGTCTTAACGAATAATAGAAGGGAAGATTTTTTTCCCTATCTTTCTCACGCTCACGTCAGCATTAAAGGTACAAGAAAAAAGGGTGGTTCGAAAGTTTCCGCGAAACGCCTTTGTCACCCCTAAAAAACGGATTTTGCTACAGTAATGTAATGTTGTATAATATTTATAATTATTCTTGATTTATGTGTATTTTTTTTTAAATATTATAATGAGTTATAAATTATGATTTTAATTATGACACGAATTCATTAATAAAACACAGAATCAGTAAATAGGATTGTGCATATTGTTTACTAGTATTTTGAAATCTGTTGAGCACCTGGATTATTCATTCAATATAGTTTAAAACTGAGTCATAATCAGCGTAGCCTTATCTCTCCCTTTGTTTTCATATTTACTTTGTGATGCAAGATCCACACGACTTGTCATTTTAGTTGTTTTATCATTTAGTTCCATTTGTTTTAGGTCATGCTTTGTGTTGTTCAGGTCATGTATTGTTACAGGTCGTTCACGTCCTGTTCTATTGTTTTAATGCTACATGTCAGATTGGGGTTTTTTTCGGTCTTGGTTGTTCTTTTCCTTAAATCCATTAATCCTAAACAAATTATGTCTTATTTTAGCAGTATGGGTGGAACTGTTTTTTCATTATGTATGTTAGCTCGGGATTCCTTACGGTGGAGCAAGCTATTTTGCTACACCAATGGGGATTGTATTTATTGAGAAAATCAGGTATTTCTCACTTAAAAACAACTTCACCGACATTACTTGTGAATAGTACCATACGAGTGAATAATGTTATATAGATGAACAGTACTATACGTAGCGAACAAACCTGACCGAATAACTATTGATTACTGAAAATAAATAAAAGAA